GTTTTTGTGCTCTGTCATTTAAACATTTCATTAATCCTATTTTTACTGATATAGGATGGGATGATCGGAAATTCAAATAGCCGTTTAAATGTGTGGGTTTTCTGTAAACACTAGTGTTTAACTTCCCATCTTCTTTCCTTTTTACGTTGCAATCTAACATTGGAAGCTCCCCTTCCTGACTTTCCAATTCATAAGTGAATTGAATTGCCTCTACCTTCGAGTTGATGTGCTCGAAAAATCTATCTATATCTTGTGTTCTAAGTACAGTGAATATGTCATCTACATGCCTCCACCATACTTCTGGGGTGGGGGTGAACGTTTCAATCGCTATCTTTTCCCACCTATCCATGAATATATCTGCTACAACCGGGTATATTGGTGATCCCATGGCAACTCCCTCAGTCTGTTTGTATATTTTCCCTTGGAATTTAAATACTGTAGAAGTCAGGCAAAGCTGAACTCCCAGCATCATGTCCTCAAGTGGCACTTTTGTCCTAAGTTCGCCTCTACAGCCATATTTATTGGTATACGTGTATATAAACTGACAATGTCAAAACTAACCATTTTTTCTTCATTATCTGATTTTAAATTATCTAATCTGTGTTTTAGATCACAAGAGTTAGTTAGTCTAGATTTCGAGTGGATTTTTAGGGGATTTAATACCATGGCTAAATATTTAGATAATTCATAGGTAGGTGAATTTCTAAAATCAACTATAGGCCTAATAGGGTATCCTGACTTATGAATTTTAACAACACCATACATCCTACTGGGGTTATTAGTTTTTGGCATTAATTTAAACCACTTAGACTCACTTAGAAACGGCTTCATTCGGCGTATAAGGTCCGCTGTGGATTTCTTAACTTTATTCATAACTGTGTCTATTGATTTATTAATTTCCTCATATGGTCCTGTTTGTATGTGAGTATTTACCTTGTCCAAATAGTCTGATACAAGTAACAGGAATGATTCAACACCTGTCCAGCCAGATATCTGGAAAATTCTACTACCCCTACGACGACGAATAGGAGAGGACAAAGAAAGCTATAAAAATCAAATCTCGAAGTCGTGTGACAAAAATTGATATGATTATGAACAACAAATTGTGTTCGAAACGTCATCCAGTAAATACTAATACTGTTTCACAGTGTGATACATTTAATAAACAAACTAATATGGAATTGCAAAGTACTCTGTCGAATATCAGACAAGAAACTAGTATCTGATATTTATATACTAACCAATATCTATAAATATTAATTATCTTCACTACAAAAGAGTTCTTTTTTGAAGATACAACTGAAACTGTTCAAGTTATTACGCATATTTCAGCGAAACAAAAACAAAATAAAAAAAGAAAAAATAGAAAATCACTCATGGATTCACTTTAAAACAGAAATTTACAAGTAATAAATACATTTCGACTGATGACATTTCAACAGTACAAAATATTTGGAGAATACTAATTTATACTTCTGATTTTCTGAATTGATTAGTTGCACTTTTTTGTTTAACAGACGGTGGAATGGAGTTAGTAACTGCTTAGAAAATCAATCACTCCTGACTAAGGTAATCACAATGTTTAATACTTATTTGGACGTTTCAGTTAACTTTGTAACTGGTTACAAGATTTCATCATAAGCAGACAATACTTAGAGAACCATTGGAAAACCTGAAGAGAGTACTGGAAAGCTGTTTCGTCTTAGTTTTGGACTCTTCAGCAGTACGCTAGAAGGTCCTGGGTTAGGATACCGGTGGGTGTGTACTGCTAAAGAGTCCCAGACTAGGACGAAACGGCTGTGCAGTACTCCCTGCAGGTTTCCCAATTGTTCTCTAACTCATGTCAGCTAATGATGAAATCCTGTAACCAAATGAAATCCCTACAAACCAACACTTGAATAACTTTGTAACTATTATCCTGGACTGTATATCGATTGTTCTGACGTTTGCATATTATTTGTCTTTGTCTCTCTTTTATCTCTAATTTTAATGCTTTTCATTGTTCAGTCAGTAGAACTTCAAACCATTAACTCACTGACTGTTGATTTGAACCTTCTGTTCTTAAGGGTTTTATTAGTTTACGTTTCAATGTAATTTGTTTGCCGAAGGAAAAAGATGAATACTGAAACATTTTATAAGTACAATGGATATGTAGCCCATTGCTTTAAGCACTCAGTTTTCAACTGACCGGCCATAGGTTCGAGCCTCGCTCCATCTACTTCAGGCTGCGTTACTGGGTACTATCATCAGCCAACTCACGGTAAGTGTACACTCAACATAAACAAAAAGATTCGGGTTGTCGATACAAATCTTAAGTCAGTCAGTGCTTGTTTATGGGTCGGAAACTTGCACTCCGCGTCAAGAAAAGTATTTCTAACTGCAAACAGATGCCACCTCCGCTGGCTGACTCCACAGTGAAGATAAAATGGTAGACCAGAAAATTTAGCAGCAGAAAACTCTCCGAACCAGTCAGTCAAGAACTTATTGCTCAACAAATATGCAGAAAAAAGAAGTCACATGCTGAGGAGACTGTCGAATGACATCGTGTGCCAGGCCATTGGTCGAGTGGAACTTGAATGGGAAACGATGATTTACGCGTTGGTCCGGGGGAGGGGACATAGAGGAAATACTGCAGGGAGGAGATGAGAGATTATGGGCAACCGTGGGACCAGCGAAAGAGGACCACGAGAAAAAGAACAAAGTGGAGATGCGTTGGTGAAGCCCTATGTTCTACTCGGGCGCCAAGGGAACAGTAATTTACTAATACACGGTAGGCGTCGGTGGCATAGCGGTTAGGACGCTCGCCGACCATGCACATAGTCTGAGGTTCAATCCTCGGCCAACGCACTCCTTTACCTCACTAAGCCAGAAATAATACTGGTAAAGAGGAAAAGTTGGGCATGAGGCTAGCAACCATACCCTGTAAAATTAAACTCTGCTACAGAAACTTCAAGCCACTAGCTTCAAGCCCTATGTTCCACTGGGAACGTGAAGGAAAATATAAAAAAAATACACGGTAGGTGTGGCTCAGATCCTGGTACATGAAAAATCTGTTTCAGGTAATCAAGTTTGGATAAACAAAGTAAAGTACGACATAGATCGTAGTAGTAAATGAATAGTCTACGGATGTACGGATATTGTATACACACACAACCGAAATCAATAAGTGCATGGTAAGCAAATCCAGGGAAATGAGTGAAAAAAGTAGACATTTATGTAATAAAAAGGAAAAGAAAGTGAACCAATTGTTAACTTTTCATATTCTTCAAGTCAATGGAATAGAGACGAAAATAAACTTGCATAATTTTTAGACGAAGTTGCCTCAATAACACTAAAAATAACAATAATAATAAGAAGAATTGGGAGTGATTTTCTTCCCCTTATTCGTGGGTTTTGTTCTTGCTTTCGTCCAAACAACAGACTTCGTAATTTTCTCATATAAGAATAAGTCACCTTCAATCTAAACACCGGAATAAACAACCTCATTTTTGATTGATTCGCTCTGGTAAATATTTTCAAATAGAGAATGGAGTAAATCCATTCACTGAAAACGTCTATGAAAAAAAAAAAATAAAACTACCTCTTAGTGTATAACTTGTCATAACTTCCATGTTCAACTAAGTGTTTAACTGAACAAATGACAGTTTGTTGATGAGGTGTATACTTCTCAGAACATTTGAATAAAGGAAGGTTACACAACCAAACCTGCACCTCAACTTTATAGACTTTGAGAAGGCCTTCGACAGCGTTGACCGTGAAGTAATTTGGAAACTACTCGAGTACTACGGCGTACAGTGCCCGAAATATTCATCAACCTTATTCAACAGCTGTACGATAACCACACTTGTCAAGTGATCCACAACAGAAAACTCAGTGAGGCGTTTGGAGTAAACACAAGAGTCAGACAAGGGTGCATATTATCACCCACGATGATATTCCTAATTGTGGTAGACTGACTGGATTATGAGACAGACAGTGAGTTGGAAACAAGAAGACATGGAGGGATATCCTGGACCGACCGACGTGAAGAACCTAGAAGACCTGGATTTCGCGCGGCGATGATTTGTGTTTGATGTCACACAAAATCGAAGACTTACAAGCGAAAACCGACAAGCTGGTCGAAGAAGCAGCCAGTGAAGACAGGACTCCAGGTGAACATAGACAAGACGGGGGTTACGAAAATAACCAAAAACAACAACAGCAACATCCAGCGCCAATCACCATCAACGGGAGGGATTTGAAAGACGTTACTTCACTCACTCACTTATCTAGGGAGCATTGTCTCAACTGCAGGCAGTCGGAACGGACGAGGATGTCAAATCGAGCGAGAATCTGGAAGGCGAGAAACACACCTATTCATCCACCTGAAACAACCAATCTGGAAATCTTCATCAATACAAACGTCAAGTCAGTTCTTCTATACGGATCAGATCAGAAACTTGGCGGGCGGGTCACAAAAAATACTTCCAACAGCCTGTTGCAGACCTTTATCAACCAACAAATGTCTTCGCTGGATCTATACTGAAGATCAGATGGCCGGACAGGAAAGAATCACCAACAAGAAACTATGGGAACAAACAAAACAAGAACCAATCGCCAACCAACAAATATGCAGGAGAAAGTGGAGATGGATGGATTGGACACTCACTGAGGAGGCCGCCGCTGGGTGACATCGCACGCGCGTCAGGCCATTGCTCGAGTGGAACTAGGCCTAAAGGGAAGCACGCGGCGAGTGGGACGTCAGTGCAAAGGTGACATGGAGGAGATCGTGTAAAGAAGAGTTGAAATAGTATGTACTAACATGGATGCAGATGAAAAGTACAGCAGAGGACAGAAGCAAGTGAAGACGTGCAGTTGAAGCCATATGTTCCACTAGAAATCCAAGGGAACAATAATAATAATAATATAAAGCATGCAAGATTCTGAATTCTTTCATCATTACCTGATAGATTAATTTGTGTCTTAACGCTCTGATATGCATAAATTTAGAAATCACTTACCCAAATGCATGAGATACTCGTCGACCAACACCATTCACATGCCAGTCGTCGGCATACAATCCATCTGGACGTGCTGTATACACAACTAGGTATTGTAAATCTCTCCAGGTTAGATTAGGATTTGCTGATAAGGTGAGTGCACAGATACCTGCGGCTAACGGAGCACTAGCTGATGTACCAGAATGATTATCTGTACAAGTATGATTTAAATCTGTTGTAATCTACGTGAAAAGAAAAAAGAGGAAGAGGAAAGGACAAGAAGAGGAAATTAGACAGACAGAGTAATCAAATGGGCGTGTGTGTGTATGTGCAGTGGGAAACGAGACAGCGATTACCACTACTACTAAATAATAAGGTTACATCTCAAACTGGTTATTTACATCATGAACCAACCAAGGTCTCATAATATCGGCTTTTGTCTTAAACGATTCTACCAGGTTTCTTTTTTAAAATTCCTTCACGTTCCCAGCGGAACATAGAGATTCAAGCTAGAGACTTAAAGTTTCTGTAGCAGCGTTTATTTTTATAGAATAGGGTTTGTAGCCTCACGCCTAACCTTTCCTCTTTGCCAGTTCTATTAGTGGCTGAGCGAGGTAAAGGAGTCAGTCGGCCAGGGATCTAACGCTGGAACATTTGCATGGTTGGAGAGCGTCCTAACCGCTGTGTCACCGCTGTGACCAGTAATCAAAAGTTACTTTAGTGCACGCTACGAAAATGATTCTAATGGATACTATGTTTAAGGGTTAACTAACATATTATTTAAGGTTAAATATGTAATCTCTTCAACTGTAATTACAATTTTTTCAACCAATTTAACAAGTAGGTATTAACAACATAGTGAAGGAAATTTCAACGTGTTTTGGATGAAAATAAATAATAACCGAAAAACAAAAACGTCAACCTTAGAAAAATGCATTCAGAGCTTTATTACACCGCCGGGCACCAACTAAAAACACAAAACTTGATACATTTATTTCCCCTGATAAATTTCAATTAAGCAAGAACAACAGTGTAGTTTTTGCAGAAGAATATTGTACCACCATTATGTATTTCGTCGGCTTCTCATCAGCTGCTGCTCACAGCCTAAATTAATTAATACTAACTTTATGTACAGAAAAGTTTTAACATACATTCACAAATTTTACATGACGTCAGTTGACACAAGGTACCGGACTTATGTAGTTTCCACACAGATAGTTCAAGTTTAAACAAAGCAAATCTATGCATGGAATGGTTAAGGAGTTACGTAACGGAAACTGGATATCTTTATTCTCTCTTTCATCTGATTACGCAATCTTTGGCTTTAACCTCACCCCATTTTGATACAGTGTAATTTTCATTGTCTCTTCTTTCTCATCATTTTACGCATCTCTCGTCTTTATTACGTAACTCCTTTACCATTATATGGATACAATTACTTTGTTTAAAACAACTCATATAGCCGAACAATACTGTTGTTTTCAATTAGATCTTCTTCAGGCTTTACTCTAATTTACGTAGACTTATATATATATATATATATAAAACAATTTTAACCAATGACGGTGATTTTGTGGATCATATTATAATTATAATGTGGTAAATGTTTCGAACGTCGTTAATAACGATGATTATAATGATAACAAAATGTTGATAATAAGGTTTATATGCAGGTGACGATAAGAATAACAAAGGTAGTGAGTGATGTGTGTATATGTATACAACACTTCCTTGATGTCCAGTTTACCAGAAGATAGGAGGGTCCACTCAAGAAAGATGTCTATAGAACACCTACATCTGTAGAACAATATACAGATTTCCTCAGTTTTGTACCAATCGGATACTAAATCAATTTGGTCAGATGCCTCACAAATAGAGTAAGATGTATCCGTGCAGATGACTCACTAGAAAAGGAGTTAGGATACATCCCAAATACGCTGGTCCAAATTGGTTATCCTAGTAGATTTGTAAGGAGACATATGAACACCAGGTACAATAAAGAGAAACTGACAACAGTTGAAAAGAAACAACTGTTCCTAAAATTGCAATTTAACGGGGACGTAGCTAGCGAAGTCTTACATCTGAGATTATCGAGAGCAATAAAACGGACTTATACTGCCGCCACCCTTTTGTTTGTCATTTTCCAGCCAGACAATTATGATTCCTTAAGTGAAAGACAAGCTACCTAGTTGTGACACTTCTATGTGTATCTATACATTTAGTTGCTCCTGTGGAGAGAGCTATATAGGGTGAACAACTAGACAGCTTAACAAACGCATTAATGAGCATCTTCCCCCATGGTTCGAAAAAGGTCAAATAAAATCTATAAGAAGATCTATTTTGGCTCATTTTATTGATAGTGATCACCAAGTGGACAGAAATAGTGCCTTCAAAGTTATCTATCGCATTCCATCGAGCCTTTCGAACGGAATTCGAATCCGTCTTTTACACATAGCCGAAGCTATGGGAATCATTTCGAGAGAAAAATCCCGGTCTTTGCATGCAACCAAAGAAGTTTGTTCTACCTTTGTCTCTCCCTTGCCTGGCCTAGGTGAATTCTATTCAAAACCCTCCCACCCTTTCTTGTTTTCCATCTCCTTCGTATTTTTATGATATTTATTTAAACTCTGATTATCTGTCCACTTCACCTTCAGTATTACGTAACTTTTAAGATTTGACCTAATCTATTTATTTATTGAACTGTCTACGTATACATATATTACTACCTTTGTTATTCTTATCGTCACCTGCATATAAACCTTATTATCAACATTTTGTTATCATTATAATCATCGTTATTAACGACGTTCGAAACATTTACCACATTATAATTATAATATGATCCACAAAATCACCGTCATTGGTTAAAATTGTTTTATATATATATATAGAAATTCACCTACCTATGAATTATCTAAATATTTAGCCATGGTATTAAATCCCCTAAAAATCCACTCGAAATGTAGACTAACTAATTCTTATGAACTAAAACACAGATTAGATAATTTAAAATTAGATAATGAAGAAAAAATGGTTAGTTTTGACATTGTCAGTTTATATACACGTATACCAATAAATATGGCTATAGAGGCAGTCAGAAACGAACTCATTTCTGACCAAGAACTCGAACTTAGGACAAAAGTGCCAATTGAGGACATAATGCTGGGAGTGCAGCTTTGCCTGACTTCTACAGTATTTAAATTCCAAGGGAAAATATACAAACAGACTGAGGGAGTTGCCATGGGATCACCAATATCCCCGGTGGTAGCAGATATATTCATGGATAGGTGGGAAAAGATAGCGATTGAAACGTTCACCCCCACCCCAAAAGTATGGTGGAGGTATGTAGATGACACATTCACTGTACTTAGAACACAAGATATAGATAGATTTTTCGAGCACATCAACTCGAAGGTAGAGGCAATTCAATTCACTTATGAATTGGAAAGTCAGGAAGGGGAACTTCCAATGTTAGATTGCAACGTAAAAAGGAAAGAAGATGGGAAGCTAAACACTAGTGTTTACAGAAAACCCACACATTCAAACAGATATTTGGATTTCCGATCATCCCATCCTATGTCAGTAAAAATAGGATTAGTGAAATGTTTAAATGACAGAGCACAAAAACTAAGTAGTACCAAGGAAAATCTAAGACAGGAAGTGACACACATAAAAGAAGCCTTGAAACTTAATAATTACCCGGATAAATTAGTCAAGAAATATGTAAGTAAATGTAAAAATAAAATAAAGAAGGATAACAGAGATAGTGATAATAATAATAATGATAACAATAATAATAATAACAATAATAATAATAATGGTAATAATAATAGTGATAATAATAATAATATTAATAACGAAACCAACAATAAGGAATGTAAATCATCAACAATAATTCCATACAAAGAAGGAACCTCGGAAGCCTTACGCAGAATTCTTAACAAGGCAGGAATAAAAGTGGCATTCAAACCCACAAACTCAATTAGAAACAAGCTTTGTCGGTTAAAGGATCCTGTAGAGCCATTAAAACAAAACAATTTAGTTTATCTAATACCCTGCAATGATTGTGAGGTCAAATACATAGGTCAAACTAGTAGAACAGGGGCAGTCAGACTAGCCGAACATAAAAACCTAGCTAAATCTAGATTGGTTGACCCGAATAAGATAAGGAATCTAGAGAGTAGTTCAGCTATAGCACTACATGCAGTTACACACAACCATACAATAGGATGGGATAGGATGACAGTTTTAAAATCTAATGTCACAGGGTATAGGGAGAGATTGATAACAGAAGCTTTGTTTATCGAATCAACTGCAAATACATGTAATAGGAATGATTCAACACCTGTCCCAGATATATGGAAAATTCGACTGCCCATACAAAAAATAGGAGAAGACAGAGAAAACTATAAAAATCAAATCTCGAAGTCGTGTGACAAAAATTGATATGATTATGAACAATAAATTGTGTTCGAAACGTCATCCAGTATACAATACTGTTTCACTGTGTGATACATTTAATAATCAAACTAATATGGAATTACTTAATACCACAGTGCCCAAGTTTTACATATATATATATATATATATATATATATATATATATATATATATATATATATATATAAGTCTACGTAAATTAGAGTAAAGCCTGAAGAAGATCTAATTGAAAACAACAGTATTGTTCGGCTATATGAGTTGTTTTAAACAAAGTAATTGTATCCATATAATGGTAAAGGAGTTACGTAATAAAGACGAGAGATGCGTAAAATGATGAGAAAGAAGAGACAATGAAAATTACACTGTATCAAAGTGGGGTGAGGTTAAAGCCAAAGATTGCGTAATCAGATGAAAGAGAGAATAAAGATATCCAGTTTCCGTTACGTAACTCCTTAACCATTCCATGCATAGATTTGCTTTGTTTAAACTTGAACTATCTGTGTGGAAACTACATAAGTCCGGTACCTTGTGTCAACTGACGTCATGTAAAATTTGTGAATGTATGTTAAAACTTTTCTGTACATAAAGTTAGTATTAATTAATTTAGGCTGTGAGCAGCAGCTGATGAGAAGCCAACGAAATACATAATGGTGGTACAATATTCTTCTGCAAAAACCACACTGTTATTCTTGCTTTAGTCAAAAACACAAAAAACTACACCCTGAATTGGTATATCGGATATTTCATACAGGGCGAAAATAAGCACAAATAAAAAGGTTATCTCAAAACATCAAGAAAAGGA